TGTGTGTGTGTCTGTGTGTGTGTCTGGGGGGGGGATTCCTCATTCCTCTCACCTCAGTGCTGGGCTGCCCAGGGCAGCCGAGGGCAGAAAGCTCTCATGACGGACGAAGTTCTTCTGTTCCATATTGTGGAAAAGTACTTCCTGATTCTTCAGCTACATAAACACCAAACCCTGATCCATGAGGACAGCGCCGAGGGACACCACCACCCTCCCACGGGCGTCCCTCTCTGTGGGTGATGAACTGGAGCACTCCCATGTCTCCTAGCAGCTCACCAGCTAGGACAGGACGTCAGGTTTGAAGTGGACCTCTGGGCCACTCCTCACAGGGTGGTAGTCTCTCCTGGGCAGAGGGGGTCGTGGGAGCTGAGTCATTCCTCGTGCCCCCGTGTATAGCTGCAGTGAACCACCCACCCAGGGCCCAAAGGAGACAGCAAGCGTACTCCACACCTGCCCCRTTACTCAGAGAAGGGCACAGCTTCCTCTTCCCCCTTTAGGAGAAGCAGATGCTGTGGACAAGCTGCCCCGTGTGCCCTCTCCACGGCTGTGGACAGCAGTGTGACACGGCAGTGTACTCCTCTGTGTCCAGCCTAGAAGATGTGAATTCTGCCATGTGCCCTCCTGTGTCTCCAGCCCCAGCAATACTGGATGTTCTTGGTCATTTGTCGACATCAGACTGAGGCTCTGGACATTTGTTCAAAGTTCAGTCTTTCAAATGCGAACCTCAGTGCTTCTGAGGTCACAGAGCGAGTTCCAGGCAGGAGCTGGGAGTGTGGACTGGACAACTCACTTGATAAATCTACCGCATGCTCAGGAATGAGGGCCGCGGAGGCCTGGGAGRCAGGAGGGACTGCTTTTCATTTCCACTAGAACACGGGACTTTTAAGGACATCGTGTCCCAGGGGATTTTTCAGGAGTCACCTAAAAATAATTACAAACTGAACTTTAGAATAGCTTTGCACTACAGCATGATTTTCCAAACTCAGAGGATGACTTTTAATTAAGTTAACCTACTTGGAGGTTTCAATGATTGAGGTGGTAATGGATAAAATATTCATTTTGATTCTAATATTTTCTGCCTTTTCATATGATACAAGGTATAATGATTTTGAAGTATTTAGAAATGAGAACTMGAATTTACTTCTGCTGTAGTAACTATGTTTTCCAACCCCTCAGAGAGTTTTTAATGCCCTGAAGTCTACAAACTTCTAGAATTTCAGTTACAAAGCATCACAGAACCGCATAGGGCACATTCAAAGTTTYTTTCCAGCTGCAAGGACTTTGATTTCGACAAGTCTCTCTCGTGAAGAGGGAACAAGAACCGCACGCGTCCTGGGAGCCCTGGAAGTGCATCTGCCAGCGTAGTTGCCCGAGGGAAACGAGACGTTGAGAAACCATGAATCCCGAGGAGGCCTTATTAAATCACTTTTCAACCCAGGGTCTCCCTGTAAAGATTAGCTTTCACCATTATAGCTCTTCAGGAACAGAAGCAGGTCTTTAAAGTGCTCCCATTTCCTTTGTCTGTTGTCTGTATGTGAAGTGTTAAAAGTGGAAGGCACGTTTTCTAAAGTGAAATTTCTCTGTCTCCCCGCTGCCCCGTCTTGCTCCAGCTGGGGCGGGTTCTGCGGAGCCCTTTCATGAAGTTTGTGGCACACGCGGCCTCCTTCATCATCTTCCTGGGCCTGCTGGTGTTCAACGCCTCCGACAGGTTTGAAGGCATCGCCACACTGCCCAACATCACGGTCACTGACTACCCCAAACAGATCTTCAGGGTGAAGACCACTCAGTTCACGTGGACAGAGATGCTGATCATGGTCTGGGTTCTCGGTGAGGCTTTGATTTCAAGTACCCTAACTTTTACCAAAAACTAGTTGTCTAAATAATGGTCAGTTGCTGCCAAAGCTGCTATGCCTTCCCTGGTAAGGACGTCACCAGTGTCAGGTGAGCTAAGGAGCAAAATAATTGAATAACTTGGTACATGCCTATAAAAGTTATGCCTTAACTCAGAATAAGTTTTTATGATTAACTTGACCTGATTACAAATTTACCATGTTTCAGAAATCTAACTTCAATGATTGAACACAACTAAGTTAAGTTTTTAAATGTAGTTCACTGTTGTGATCAATTGAAATGCTTATGAAATAAACTGAGGACTAAAGAACCTTTATGTTGCATTTGAGAGATTTTTAGGAGTTTCCATTTTCAGGATATTGGTTACTTTGCTTTGCAGTAACCCATTTTGAGTACCTGTGTTAAAGTGAACATTTTAATAAGTGCATGTTGGAACAGGTTTGTCCACTGATCACTGATCCAAATTTTTGTCTGTTTTCTGTCTTCCATCCTGTGTGTTTCTTGGTGTCTTCTCCTTCCCTGAGTGGATGGGCTTGTTATCCCCTTCACTGGCCCCTGGTCTYAACCTGGGCCAAGTAATCATCTTAKGAACTCTGTCTTGGTGAACTCTCGGGTTCCTGTGCCCTCTCACAGGGCGACCTTGTGCCCTTCTCCCCTCGAGGCACCTCTGCCTTCAGTTTTATCCTAAGTGGCGCCTTTCTGGGGGGGTTTGTCTTGTCCCTGGGATGCTCCTGGCCCCCCCAGCATGGGGCAGAGYGGGAGTGGGGAGAGGACAGTCCGGCTTCCTGGGTGGCTGGGGAGCCCRTCATTAGAATTCCAGGTGACTGTCTCCTGCAGGGGCTCGTTTGCCCAGTCACCATGGCTTGATGGTCAGCCACTTGGATTTTTGTAGGGACACCTCTTCTTCTGTCCTCCCTGAGTCTGACCTGCCTGCTTCCTCCCTCCTCTCTGCACCTGCCRCAGGTCCCGTCTGGGTGGCCACGCGTAGAGCCCTGTCTCTGGTTCTGGCGGGGTGTGTCCTCCCGAGGGAAGCCCTTCCCCCCAGGGTGGGCCTGGGTCGGCAGGCGCCTGGCGGCAGCTTCCCCCTGAGCTTGCTCTCACGCGCACCTCGCTTCCCACGCAGGGATGATGTGGTCTGAGTGTAAGGAGCTGTGGCTGGAAGGGCCCAGGGAGTACATCCTGCAGCTGTGGAACGTGCTGGACTTTGGRATGCTCTCCATCTTCATCGCCGCCTTCACGGCCAGGTTCCTGGCCTTCCTTCAGGCAACAAAAGCCCAGCAGTACGTGGACAGCTACGTCCAAGAGAGTGACCTCAGCSAAGTGACGCTGCCGCCCGAGATACAGTACTTCACCTACGGTGAGTGGCTCGCTGCGGGAGGAAATGCCAGTCAGGAGTACGGTGGCCTCCATCCAGGATGGGCGTGTCCCGAGGCCCCCAGGGGGCTCCTGAAACTGCTGATGTATATATATATATATTGTTTCTTCCCACACATGAATATGTACTTACAGTAAATTTAGTAAGTAAGGCACAATATGAGATTAATGACATTCATAATAAAATGGAATAATTATAATATATGATAATACAGTTGCTAGCATCGCTTCTCTTTCTTTGGGCRTATTATTAAATAAAATGAGGGTTTCTTGAACAATGAACACTGCAATACAGTGACAGTGGTCTGATCACCTAGACGGCTCCTAAGTCRCTGATGGGCAGGTAGCTTATGCCACATGGACACACTGGTATTCATGTCCTACAAGAGACAGAATGAGTCTGCACAGATTGAGCAGGCTGCTCAGAATGCTGTGCCATATAACACTTAAAAATGGTTTATTTGTGGAAAYTTCCACTTAAAATTTTCAGATCACAGTTGACCATGAGTAACTGAAACCACATAAGCACCCCCCTTAAATAACGGACTACTTCCGTGTGTTAGTGTGAAAGGTGTGTTGCACATTTGTGGACAGTGGACGCAGCATGAGCCTTGGAATCTATGAAGCCAGATCCTCAGGGCCCAGAGTCCCCGAGGCTGTGGGTTCAAGCAAATGAGACAACGGAAGTCTAAACGGCTGTGAGAGCCACGTGAAAAAAAGACGTAAGCTGAGGTGCCAGGGCACTGAGGCCAAGAGAGCCGCAGCTGCGGAGACGGCAGACACACCTGGCCCAGAGTGGGGCTCTTGCCGGACTTCTCTGTCACCAAGAGCAGGGGCCCCGTGGACATCCAGGTGAAAGGCGGCGGATGACCTCTTGCCCAGCACAGACCTGTCGGGTGCTGTTTGTTCCCTTCCCTGAACTGCAGTGACAATCTTCACCTACGTGTATAAATCCAAGCCCTGCAGAGGTGGAAGCTCAGGCGTGGAGTGTGTGTTCTGCTTGGAGGATGACTGTAGAGGCAGTCAGGGTTCCCTGGGGGGCGAGTCCAGGTTGGAAGGCTGGGCTCCTGCTCTCACGAGCAAGGTCTTGCAATGTGTGGAACTGAAGCGTGGTGTCTCCTGCTGTCAGCAAGGATTTTCACCCAGCCAGGACACTGGTTCAAACGAGCCAAGGATCACCATTTGCACTTAAGAATTAGTCTTTATTTGTGTGTTATCTAGGTCTTGATATTTCCATAACTTATGTGTCTTGAGTTTATCTGTGTCTATTTAATGGCTGTTGTCTCAAGGGGACTTGGTGACTGCTGGCCTTCCACCTCCTGGACAAGTGATCTGATCATGGTTTTGACTTTCCAAGTCTTGGCTTCTGCATCTCCAAGAGGCCAGCATTTGCCACACATGCTCACGGGGCAGCACGTGACAGTGACGTGCTGGGAGTGTTCAGTGAATGTTAATGCTTCTTACTGCAATGTCCACAGCGTGTCCATGCTTTTGGAAATGACCCAGTTCACACAAAATCAGCCACACAGTTCTTCACTGACCTGCTGGGGAAATGGATCTGCTGCAGACTCAGTAACCCTGAAAGGCTCATTAAGCTCTTGTTGTGAATCTGCATCCCCAATCTTTACCCTTCCTGGCCTTTTACGTCCTCTAGAAACAAGTCAGCTTGCTTGGCCGTCACCTGGCAGCACTACTGTGGTCCAGTGACACTCTCCCTCAATGCTGTCTGAGATTTCACTTGCATAAACTGATAGACAAACTAATTTCCCACCAAACATGGGAAAGAAGTTTCACTTCGGGCTGGGACAATAGCTCAGTGGCAGAGCGCTTGCCTCGCACAGGTGAGGCACTGGGTTCGAGCCTCAGCACCACATAMAAATAAGTAAAATAAAGATATTGTGTCCATCTACAACTAAATTGTGTCCATCTACAACTAAAGATATTTTTAAAAAAGTTTTGCTCCAGCTATGCCCATTGGACACCAGAAGAGCTGATTAATAAGTCTAACGATGAGAGGACAGGCCAGTGGGTGGTTGCGTCATCTGGACACGTCGGTGTCTGAGAAGTGCTCTAACTTCTTTATCTCTTATTCTTTTTCGGATCCATGTGTTGTCAGTTTAGTGTCTTTACACTGGTCTTTTCTCCACTGAAAGTAATATAGAAATTGTGTTTCTTGATTAACGTAAGAATAGTACTGGACAGTTAATTAAATGGGCCGAGAGCAGAGCCAGCCACCTACAGGACAGACCTACTGGTGCGTTCACTTTGCCTGCTGGCCGGGGGCAGGGCACTCCATTGTTCATCTCTCTCTCTTTTCTAGCTAGAGATAAATGGCTGCCTTCTGACCCGCAGATCATCTCCGAAGGCCTGTATGCCATCGCTGTTGTGCTCAGCTTCTCTCGCATCGCCTACATCCTCCCTGCCAACGAGAGCTTCGGCCCCTTGCAGATCTCTCTTGGAAGGACGGTGAAGGACATATTCAAGTTCATGGTCCTCTTCATCATGGTGTTTCTGGCCTTCATGATCGGCATGTTCATACTGTACTCTTACTACCTGGGGGCCAAAGTCAACGCTGCTTTCACCACGTAAGTCGAGCACGAAGAGGAATTCCAGCAGGTCTAGACGAAGCAGAAGAAAAATTCCAATTACCGTAGTGAAGGTGTTTTTAAGAGCAGAAAAAAAAACATGAAAACAGTCAGTTCCTGCGTGTGATTCTGTGGCTCCACAACTTCCTCTCTTTTACCTTAGTGAACATTTGGCCACAGAATCAATCAGGATTCGGAAAAAATCCTGGACAAAATCTGCTATTTTAAGAGAMTGGAGTATGGGATTGCTAATCCTGGATGTCTCTTTCCTTATGTTAGATTTAGGCCTGTCCCTTTGTAGCTAGGACTACTCTTCTGAACCGGAAGCGCTGGTTTGTCTCAGTGAGTCTTTGACAGTGCGGGGAGGAGGGCGAGGGGAAAGGGCACGTCCTGGAGCCCACTGGAGTGGTGAGGCCGCTTCCTGCCCAGGGTCACCTGGTTCCTGCACTGTGACTGTCTCCCYGGGAAGCCTTCCTTGACCCAGCTGAGTCTCACTACCCCTGTGGGCTCGGGGTGGAGGTACCCAGACTGTGGGCCCTTCTCGCCCGTTGGTGTTCGGTTGTCATGGAGATGGCCTCCCTGTATCATGCTCCCTCCTGCCGTTCCTGGGTGCCCTGTGAAGGAAGCCACAGCTGGGAACCAGCTTCCCTCTCGGCAGGTTCCCCGTAGGGGAAAATAGCTTACCAAGGCCTTGCGGGCATCTGAATGGCTCTGAACTAGTGTTCCCAGCAGTTAACAGAGAGCAGTCGGAAGGTGCGAGAGACTGAAATTCACTTTATTGTAATAAAGGAAACCATCAGCTTGAACCTGCTGGGGAAAGCACAGAGGTACACAGCGCCCCCCCTTTCCCTCCCCCTCTTTAAATACTATTCCCATTCATTGTTTTCCGGAAAAAGAACTTGCTTTAGAACCTTTCTTTGTAATGGAATTTTACATAACTGTTCCAGGATTATTTATTTAGTCCTCGGATCAGGGATCACAAGTCAGTCACATGTTAAAAACAGCCATGTGCCTTTTGCCAAAGTGGCTGAGGAACGCCAGCAGGGGACTGGTGTGGGAGAGCCGGGTGCTGGTGGCTGAAGGAGGAATCAGGAAGTCCTGTGATCGGGGCAGACACGYGGCCTCCTTGTTCCGCTGCCCCACTTCATGTCCAGCCAAGGGCGGCTTCTGGGGAGGTGACACTGTTGGCTCTCAAGATCTGTGGGCTCCTTGTAAGTTCAGCGAGCCCTGGGTCACGAGTGGCCTGACAACACCGTGTCCTTGCTGAACCCACACAGCTGTTTTTCCTTGTCCTTGTTCCCTGTACGGCACAGGAGAACAACTGTTGCAACAACTGCATTGCAGTGTCACCATATCAAGTATTGTAAGCCACCTGGAGATGGTTTAAAGCATGCAGGAGAGGTGCATAGGTTATATGTAAACACTAAGCCTTCTTTAAGGGACTGGGCACCCACAGACGTCCATATTCCCAGAGAGTCCTAGAACCCAGCCCCCACAGATACCCAGCGGTGACTGACTGTATGTTCTTGTGACAAAAGATTCAGAGAGGTGTCTACGATGACAGGCTGGTCCCCCCCCACCCTTGGCCCCCAGTCTGCTAATTCTCCCTAGTTCCAGAAATGCCTATGTCTTTGGGACACTTTGAGATTTTTTTTTTTTTTCATAAAGTAGAATGTAAGTATCTGGTTTCCCTTGTCACTGGATGATAGAGGTTTTCGCCATGTCTGTCTTGTTTCTTACTTAACCCTCCTCTGGCATYGCTGAGTGAACACGTGGAGACAGGTCTGTCCCACTTCCCCCCCCCGTGGTTGCATGGCCTTCCGGGTTTCGATGCCCCAGAATCATTCAGCCTGTTCCTTGCATATCTAGCTTGCTTTTATTCTAAAAGCAAATTATTTCATAGCAAATGATGCAGCAAGGAATATGTTCATATACTTTTTAAAAGTAGATTCATAATTTTAATTTCTGTTCTACTCCAGGAAAACTGACTTAAATATCTAAACCATCTACCAAATCAAGCTTCAAACTTTCATCCTCCCAGGAGAAAGGAATGGGCGTGGTAATATGGCTTCAGCTTTCTCCTGCTGAGCACAGACAACTTTCCCTGGAAAGTCCTTCAGGAAAGCTCCCTTGGCCATTTAATCTCCAGTCCTGAAAACCTGAGGGGGGATTTCTATTAACCATCTTCAAATCGTTAGAAGTAGTGGCTAATGTTTGTTCTGATTGCATTTTACATCTGTATGGTGTTCAGCCCTGACTTGTCTTTACTTCTGAATAATTAATACTTGGAATCATTAATTAATTACTGTGTGTCTTTTTTCCCCACAGTGTAGAAGAAAGTTTCAAGACTTTGTTTTGGTCGATATTTGGGTTGTCTGAAGTGACTTCCGTTGTGCTCAAATACGACCACAAATTCATAGAGAATATTGGCTATGTCCTTTACGGGATATACAATGTAACTATGGTGGTGGTTCTACTCAACATGCTCATTGCTATGATCAATAGCTCCTATCAAGAAATTGAGGTAAGCCCACTGCGTCCCGAGCATCTGCCCTGGCCATCCCACTCTGACGGCATGCGACATCTGTTTCTGTGCCTTGTGGTCACAAAGAGGCTCCTTTCCGTGCAGAGAGCCTGGTCTCAGCTGTGTCTCCCCCTGAGCAGGTAGTCACTCCGGTCCAGTTCTTCTAGGAGCCCAGATCCCAGGAGGTCCCTCCCACTCCACCTCTCTCAGGGTGTCTCAGAAGTCTTGAAGTCACTGACCACGTACCCTGCCGTAGGCAGACACATTTTGTCTCCTGGGTTAGCCAGTCAGCGTCCTTCCTGGTGGAAGAATTGCTAGATGCCTGCAAACAGATGGCAAACTTGATCTGGTCAGAATTTCTAGTATCTGGAAACTGCTCGGCCTCGGATCTCTGGTTGGGCCTGGGGTGGTAGCATCTTCTTCACTGAATGTATTTTCCTCCATCCCCCAGTTTTGTGCTCGGTAYCTTCCTAGTGCCTAGCTGTTTCTCAGCTCTACCAAATCTCCAAGTGTGTTTAGAGCCTCGYAATATAGTGTCCCCAACGCAGAGGTTAGCTCCTCCAGAAATGAAGACTCAGAGCGCTGAACGCCTACCTGTGTGGGTGCGTCCGTGCCTGTCTGGGCTGTGTGACCTGAGCGACCCGGCCTCCTCCACCCTRGGCCCCCTCTTCCTAGCCCCTATTGGAATGGTCATGCCCATCACCATGGGGTGGCCCTGAGGAGAGGAGTAGATGGAGACCGTCCAGGCTACTGGGGAACTACATGACATTTGAGGGCATGTGTCAGAAACATAATCTCCCAAAATCTGTTCTAAATTCTCATTTTCCTTTTGCCCTTAGAGTATAACACGTCACGTGTATAACCTGGCTTGGGTGGGTGTGGGGAGGGGAGAGTGAGGTAGAGAGCCAAGAACTAACTTTGAACATGCAGAATTGGTGGGGCAAAGAATGGGGGGAGGGAATTAACACTTTTGTCTTTTCTTGCCTCTAATTTTTCTGATMTTTTTGTCTTATCTTGTGAGGAATAGGAAATTCTGGTTATATTTTACTGGATATAGACAAAGGAATATGGAAAAGAAAACGTTTAAGTGGTGTCATAGAAGTGATCCTCAGTTTATCCCATAGCATATAGAGATCGTATGTAGAAAATTATGTTTMAGTTCCTTACCTGTTTCAAAAATCATTTATATTCATTGCTAGAATTTACATTGTTACTGGAATATTTAGTTTAAAAATTTAGTAGCTAATTTCAAATCAGTAATTTCTATTTTGCAACACAGGATGACAGTGACGTAGAATGGAAATTTGCTCGTTCCAAACTTTGGCTCTCCTATTTTGATGATGGGAAAACCTTGCCCCCACCCTTCAGCCTGGTTCCTAGTCCAAAATCATTTGTGTATCTCATCATGCGGATCATCAACTTCTCCAAATGTAGAAGGAGAAGGCTCCAGAAGGATCCAGAAATGGGAATGGGTAACTCAAAGTCCAGGGTAGGTATCGACAACTTACCAAGACCTTAAAATCCATGTTTTGTCTCTTTCTCCTTGTCTTTCGATGTATAATTTTTATGTGTGGTGCAATAGTTTTTATGTGTGAACCTAGAAGACCTTGAAAGTGGCCGTGCATCCCACCAGCTGCCATAGACAAGGGCTTGATGTCTGCACAATGTTTCAAGAGCCACTTGTCTATGCCCTGGGCRGTCAGAAGTTCCTGGGAACCACCAGATTAAAAACAGACAAGACTCCCTTGAACTGTTAAACGTAAACAGAAACCTTGTTGTTAGGAAGCACTTTGCTTTGGTGTGTTCCATGTTCTCGGCTGTGATTCTGAAGTTAAATAATTTTAGCCTCAGATCATCCTCTTCTTGTTCATGGGCTAAGTAACTTTTTTCCTTTAGTATCATAAAACCGAGAGTTATTTGAGAGCTCCTCAAATAACTCCAAGCGCCCCTTTTATAATAGCAAGAATGGCCTGCCTACATTGTCCCAGTTGAGTCAGACTTTAATTTTAACAAACGTTTCATGATGGTACTTTATGAGCGTGAATTTAATTTTCAAAGATAAGCTTGGTAGAGGAGACAGAAAAATACAGGAAAAATTCAAATAACAGTGAAGGAGGAAGATAGGAGAAAATGTACAGGCTTAATATACAATTTTTGTCTAAAATTGTGAAAATGGCCTGTAGCTGTAGCCATCTAGAAGCCCACAGGATTTTAGGTTAATTCTCTAAAATACAGGCCTTCCTGAGCAGAGGTGGGTACTTTTTCTCAGTTGAAGCTGGGGAAAAGAGGATTAATGCAATTTAATTTCTCGGTTTTTAAGATAGAGGTGAGTTTGCAAGATTTGTTACAACCCTAGAATCTTATTCTTTAAGAATGCAATCTTTTAATCCTCTCTGACCTGCATGTGAGCTCTGACAGCTGTTAGGTTGTAAGGGAATGAGGGTTATGGCATGACAAGATTTAAAACAGAACCTCGTAAGCATACAACGAGAAGCATTACAGTGCAAGGAAGACAGCCCTGCTGCTGGACTTGGGCTTGAATCTTGGCTCTTAGGAGTCAGACCAGGTAGTGGGGATAAACCACGTGGCCATTTGAGCTTTAATCGCTTCCCCTGAAAGAGGAAGCTTCTGGAGGGTTGTGGTGAGGACTGAGAGAGCTCCAGCCTCAACAAATATCAGGGCCCTGAAAGAGGAAGCTTCTGGAGGGTTGTGGTGAGGACTGAGAGAGCTCCAGCCTCAACAAATATCAGGGCCCTTCCCTATTCACAGTTTACAAAGTGCTTTGCAGTACGTCTGAACCTCAGGTCGTGCTGCAAGGTGGGTATCCGTTATTCCATTTTATAAATAAGACAACTTCGCCCTTCAAATTCCTCCCYTACAACTGGGCTGGCCGTGCAGGGCAGGCCTGGGTCCAGCTTTCTGTTGCACCTGGCTGCTCTGTGCTCAGCTGCCCAGTCCAGGCTGTGGCCTCCCTCTCCCTCCCTGAGCTGTACCTTCAGCTGTGGGGCAGCAGGTCTCCTAAAGGGGCCTGGGTGGAACTGTCRTCCTGGGTGGCGCCTGCTACTGCTGAAACTGACTTTGCTTTGAAAGACTGAAGTATATAAAAGGAGTGTCCCAGGTGCGGAGTTTGCAACCCYAGCACCTCATAGAACACACCTTAGTTTTCTTCTTTCTTTCTGTAGGCAGCTGAGTCCGTGGACCTCTTTCCTGACCCTGTCGTAAAGTAGAAAGGGGAACTCAGATTGAGAAGAGCACACCCAGGCCGCGGCTGCCTGGACCCCTCTAAAGGAAACTAGCTTCTCCCAGGAATGAGGGGAGCGTTTATGTAGGATGTCCACTGAGGGTGTCCCCTGAGGTCACCTGCTCCTGTCTGTGTGTGCCACGGGCAGGAAAGGTGCTGGTAGCAGAAGATGGGCTGGGCTCATCTCTGGGGAGGCAAGAGCCTCCGCTTCCTAGACCTCCCACATCTGGCTTAAGTGGTCGTTGTGATTCTAAGTTGCGCATAGGCCTGTTCAGACCCTTTCACCTTCTGCACAGTCATAGACTTTCGTGAATGCTGAATTTAGTAAAAATTTGGAGAATTCCATTTCCTGTTTTTTTTTATGGACAAGGGAGGCCCTGGAGCAGCCTTTCCTGCTCACCTGTCTGGCTGACCTTGGTTGGTAGGCAGACACTGACCTCCAGTGGCCAACAGGAGAATTAACTCCGCTAGATGAGGTTTTTCCCTGGCACTGCAGAACTAGTGGAAGGGTCCGTGCCACCTCCACTCCCCCCCCGCATCCCTCACCTCCCGCATTGTGATGGTGGTTCTCGGGTCCTGGGGCGTATATGCTTTTTTGGACGGAGGCGGGGGGTCTTGCTTTTGAACCACACSTACCAGGGGGCAGTGTGCTCATGAGTAATAGGTCACACGGGAGTGGATGTGCCTCTGTGCCCCTCCTGCTCTCATTTTTGCCCAAAGTCTAGACCTTAAGAAGAGAAGCAGAGGAGGGAAAGAAAACCAAGATTCTGTAGCCCAATTCTCTCCCAAGTGTGATCCCAGCTCTTGTACGGCCTTGAGAAGATGCATTACTGAGACTTGTATTGTAAGGCTATGGGATCCCACAGTGCTACCCAGTAGCGTGCCCTGCGCAGGCCCAGCAGCCGACTGAACTGCTTCCCTGGAACTGCGCTGCCAGGAGCCAAGTGCACATYTTGATCAAGACCAGGTCCCAGGGAAAATTGTGCCCAGTAGGAGCCAACTTTTAAAAAACGTGTTCTCAACCAGCAGTTCTGTTCCGCCCATCTTGCCAACACTTGGACCAGTGTGAGTACGCGTCCCCCTTAGAGCTTGCCTTTGGAATTAGATGAAGTCACATAGAAAACTCACCCTCCACAAGGTGTTCCTCAGAAATGTTACCAAGGAGAATAGGAGAGACTGTACTTCTGATTCCAAATGAATGTATTCTAATTTACTAGGTTAATTGTATTTTTTCCTAGTTAAACCTCTTCACTCAGTCTAACTCAAGAGTTTTTGAATCACACAGTTTTAACAGCATTCTCAACCAGCCAACTCGTTATCAGGTAAGAACTCCTTAGACATCTCTCTTTATCTGTGTGTGATTCTGTGTGTGTGTGTGTGTGTGTGTGTGTGCGCGCGCGCGCACGCATAGCCAGTGGCGCTATAAGACAGGAACAGAGAAGATGAGAAAAGAACACTCTAGTTGGAGGGGGCTTTAGAAATCAGTCTAACTGCTCCTCCCCTTCCCCTCCCTCTCCCCCTCCCTCTCCCCCTCCTTCTCCCCCTCCCCTTTTTTTTGGCTGAGGAAGAAGAGTTCTTTTCTCAATATTGAAAGCAAAATGTTGCTATAATTTCCAAAGCATGTTGCATAAACCTTGAACTGGACAAAGAAATAGGAGTTATGGTGTATTAGAGAAATACCTCTCTCACAGTTTGAAAATCGGACTGTTTCTGCAGGCTTTTCTCCAGAGCAACCCATCTTCCAGGTGACTGTGGTCAGGCTGTGCTCCTTCCATGGCACTGCTTTAGAATACCTTCGGGCAGGTGCAGTGACACAGGCCTGTAGTCCCAGCAGCTCAGGAGTCTGAGGCAGGAGGAGCGTGAGTTCAAGGACAGCCTCAGCAACTGAGCGAGGCCCTAAGGGAACTGAGTGAGACCCTGTCTCTAATAAAAATAAAAGGGGTTGGGGATGTGGCTCAGTGGTTAATCACCCCTGAGTTCAATCTCCAGTACCCAAATAAACAAACACAACACCCTATGCATTTACTGTTGGCTGTGACCCTTGAATTCTGTTCCTCAGCTGGCCTCATTTTGAGTCTTTAGATTCTGGTGTGCGGGGGGGGGGGGGGGGGGGGGGGG